CCTCTTGGCGGCGCGCTTGCTCTTCTTGGCGGCGCGCTTGCTCTTCTTGGCGGCGCGCTTGCTCTTCTTTCAGCTCCCGCAGCTGTTCTGCCTGACAGCGCGCTTGCTCTTCTTGGCGGCGCGCTTGCTCTTCTTGGCGGCGCGCTTGCTCTTCTTGGCGGCGCGCTTGCTCTGCCATCATTTGCTGCAGCTGTAGCAGAAGATCCACCTGCACAGGCTTGGCTTCTGCATCGCTGGTTTGAGCTGCAGCACCCTCTTCCCTCACACGCTGCGCTTCTGACATTGAACGGGTACTCACTCCTCTTACGTCCTGCGGCACTAGCGGCATTTTTCTCCAATCCCACTTCTGACACCAAATGTTACGTGCCTGACGTCACGTTCCTGACTATGCGGGCTTGGGTTACGGGATTGGATGAAATGAAACACTAATACCGGTTTTCAGACTTTCTATTGCACTTAAGTTACAGCGTTATCGGCGTTCCTCTCCAGCAGAGTCCGGCCGACTGACACAACTTTGCCGTTCACGCTGACTTAACTCACTTAACTGACTGCACTTCACTATTTCACTGCACTTCACTATTTCACTCACTTTTCTTCTTTCTCACTTCTTCCTTTTCTTCCGAATCGCTTTAGACTTAGAACTCAACTGCCAGCGGTGAGCCGCAGTTCCGCTTATATACCCCCGGTCAGGTTCTAGAACATTCAATTTCGTTATTCTTTTTGATCGTCATGCCTCCAGAATCTTCCAATAATTTCGTTATTCATTTTTATTTATTCTTCTTCTCGCTCCTTAATTTTTCATCACTTTCACTCAAATATTCCAGAAAGTTCGACAAAACTTCCATCAACTAAAAAACTTCATGTTTACGGCGGGACTCGAACTCGGGGTCTCTGTGGTGTAATCCACACGCCTTACCGATTACACCAACTCGTGTTGACAATTCACGACGAAATTTACAATCTCTAGGCAACGTTTGACAACCATCCATTGACGTCATGATGTCAAAGAGTTTTCTGTCACAATATTATTGTTTAAATTGAAATAACCATTCTGACTTCGACTTTCACTCTGCCTTTTTCTTTGACTTTCACTTTGCCGTTTCCTTTGACTTTCACTTTGCCGTTTCCTTTGACTTTCACTTTGCTCTTGACTTTGACTTTGTTTTTAAGCTTCTTTTCATCCCGTACATCATGGGTTAATTAATTATTAATTAAAACAACAAAATATTCTTTTCAAATAATTTTATTTAAATGCCTTAGAGTCTACATCACAAACAAATTTACAATAGTGGCAACAATTAATTTATTTTATTATTATATTATTACTATAATATAAGTAAGTCGTTATTAATAGTCAACTATTTTGCAAAAACTATTCATTTTATTTCCATAGTGTCATTGTAGTCGTATTCTATGTAAAATCTTTTTCATATGTTGCCATCCACAATGAAATAAAATTCAGAATAAAAATCTGAAAATTAGTCTTTCGAGAACCGATCAAGCCTGTTTATTCAAGTTGAATTAGGGCTGATTTTTCAATAGTCAGATAAATGTTATCTGAGGAATAAATTTGTTGCTGTCACTGTCTTAAACAAACATTTTGACGCGACAGCACCGTAATTATTCCGCAGGTAACTTTTATCTAACCATTGAAAAATCACCCCTAAAGTATATTAAATTCTCTGTTTCAGACCAGAGATCCATACAAAAGTCTTTTTAATTTCTTATCCTAATGTTAGGTAGAAAACAGTTAATTAATACTAATCAATTATTGACATGGACATCAGCACGTCGATTCTATAAAATTTGTTTAATTTTGAATCTGCGAATGTTCGAGTGCGAAGTGAGCGTCGAAGTGACGGGGAAATTACTTTACATTATAGAATGCCACTTTTAACGTCATCTCATACTTTATCTATCAAAATGTTGCTGTCAATTTAGTTCAACTCGCAAGTGTAGCGTTAGTGTATACTACTTCTCACAGCGGATTCAGATTCGAAGTTTAGAATGAAGTATACAGAATCACACCCGACGCACATGTCAACTTGCCCAGTATCTACTGAACGGGCCATCAATTTTCTCTGCCATCATAGCTAGTATACTGTTAAGACTGTCCCTCAATCGCCGCATCATGGATGCATCGCTTGCGTATAATGGCATAGAAGTCATGTATTCTGGCTTCCGCAAACATTCCAGAACATTCCAAATAGTCGTGGTGGCCCGGAGGTTAAGCAGCCCGATTGGCTGGTTGGGATCGAAATAGCAAGTACCAATGTGACTATTTCCGAGTTATATGTACTTTCTATGATTATTTAGACACCACTGACATACGGTGAAAGTAAACATCGTGAAGAAACCTCGACTTATAATTTCTAATTATAAGTTTGAAATCGCCAACCCGCATTGAGCAAGCGTGGTGATTAATGCTCTAAGCTTCTCTGTATGAGAAGAGGCATTTGCTCAGCAGTGGGCACTTATAGGCTGATGATGATGATGATAAAACATTCCAGATGCGCTACACCATCGAGGCAGTCCCAACAGTATCCGCATAGCACATAGCGTACTTTGCTATTGAATAAATATGAAAGTACATATATAAAGCAAAACTATTAAAGAGTCACTATATAAATTCTGAATCTTAATTCATCGTGAATGGAAAGTCAACGAAAATAGAAAACTATAGATTTGTGTTTTTTTGTTAAGTATTGTAAGTTTTATGAAATTGCTAGTCAAAATTTTATTATTCTGTATAAATGTTATTTAGTTTTAAAAACGTCACTTGACATCCAAACTGATATTATAAATGCGAAAGTTTGTCTGTCTGTCTGTCTGTCTCTTCTTCACGCTTAAACTACTGTACCGATTTGTGTGAAATTTGGAATACATGGGATAGTTTTTATCCTGAAATCCTGAAAGATCGGGAACTTTGTGGGTAAAACCAGAAATCACTATTCCAAGTAGGTAGTATTATATTTTGTCGTTTATTTTAGCAAAAATGCAATCATCAATAATAAAGATCTAGGGGTACCTACATAGTATAAAACAAAGCCACTTTCTCTGTCCCTATATCCCTATACTTATGTACGCTTAAATCTTTAAAACTACGCAACGGATTTTACACGGCGAAACAGAACGCCGCCCGTGGTTCTTTCAAGCCGGTTTCTTTTAGGGGTAAGTTTTGGAATGAATGGACCTCCGGTGACCTCATTCAATTGGCAAAACACTATGCTGTGGTTCTTTTACGCCGGTTTTCCACACATAATAACTAGAAATTTCATAAAACCTCTTTTTATTCAATTATTGCTAAAAACAAATCATTTTTTTTTTGTTGTACAGCCTATAATTCCTTGTTACTATTACTAATTATTGAGCCTTTCTATAAATTAAATCGTTATTTACATCTTAATATACAATATCTATAAATTAATAGGGATAGTCACTTAGGGCTGATTTTTCAATGGTAAGATAAAAGTTACCTGGGGATTAATTATGATGCTGTCGCGTCATAATGTTTGTATAAGACAGTGACAGCAACAATTTTATTCCACAGATAACATTTATCTGAATATTGAAAAATCGGCACTTAGATTATTTATTTTAATGACGATGTCTTAAATAAAATAATACAAAACATTCGACTAGACACGTATATTTTTTCTGTTATTTAACAAATCAAATTTTATTTTTATATTTTTATTTTTTTATTTAAAACATTTATAATATTTTTTTTTTTATTTTTGTTATTTATTTATTTGAGTAGTACGGTGCAAAACCAATTAAACTTCTTAACTCTTAGGTACCTAATGTACATTAGAAGTATTTTTTTACTAGCCTATTATGTCCCACTACTGGTCAAAGGCTTTTCCTGATCTCGGCAACGTAGCGTACATCTTGACAGAATTAAATTATTTTCATCTAAGTACTAGTTGGCCAGTGATCGGGAGAACCGAGTACCGCATCTATACCTATCATATTTTCTGACCTTTAAATATTTTCTTTACTTCTAAAAATATTTCAAGACTAAAATTAGGCAAATCGGTTCAGCTGTTCACGAGTTTGTTAGCGAGACTAACAAACATCCATATTTTTTTTATTTTAGAATAATTTTGTTATTGAATAAATTAAAAAAAAATACGTGTCTTATATTTTTTCATTTGATTACTGACAAACATCAACTTTAATGAAAAAAAGTTTAGTTAGTGACCATTTAAAAATATAAATAAACATATTAAACTTCGTAATTAAATGTCTTAATTTTAACACACAAAAATATATCTCAAAAAAATTATTATCTATTCATCGTATTGATAAGTAATAAAAAAAATCGTGAAAAACAAAAAATAAATAAATGTTAGGAAAAATAGTTTATTATGAATTTTGTATTATGATTAATTGTGAATATTTAAGCTTAAAATTAAATCAGATCATTACATTTTTTTTCAAACTAAATAGTCTTATTATTGAAAATAATTTATATTTGATTAAGTCACTATCCCTATTAAATTATCAATTTATTTTAGTGCTTAGACTAAACACTAAATCATTCAATCAATCGTTTAATATTTATTTATTTTACAAAATTAAACTATTATTGCACTTATTTTATTTATTAATATGACTACATGTTGACTAGATTTCATATTAAAATCAACTATTTAATAATACTAACACTTTTCTATTATTTTAATCCAAATGTGAAATAGTATTATTATTTATTTAAAATTCAATTTATGTGTTATTAATTTTCACAATATCATCAATTATCAACTGTTACTAATAACTAATCCTATTTATTATTTGTCTTTGTCATAATCTGATTTTAAATAAAAAAAACATACAAATATGATTTTAAATAAATAAATGAAATTAAAATAATATGAAATTATAATTTTTGTGACATAAAAAATTGATTATTAAATAACAAAAATAAACTTATGATTATTCTATGACATATTCTATTACTTATTAACTATTATTACAATCGTTATTTAATAATAGTTCTACGTATTATTAGTGGAATAGTGTTGTGCGTAGTTCGTTTCTCCGACGATATCGATGTCACTGTCGCTGTGTTCTGTGTCCGAATCTGTCGATATTCTTGAATTTTCCGTCTAGAAATAATTTATATTTTTATATACACAAATTAATACTATTATATACACAAACACTTTTATAAAAAAATAAGTTGCATTTCAGTTTTTTCTACGGTTTTAACCGTTAATTTTGAAGCAATACTTATAGCTAACTACGAATGTAAATTCAAAGGCTCCTTTTCTGGTGCCCATGCTCGCTTACCATCAGGCGATCAATCAGCTCGTAGCCTTCCTGTTTCTATAAATAAAAAATACTAGCGGCGGCACTCACGACAGATTCCTGCAATTATTTTAAGCTCATTAAAAAATGTATGTCCAGTTATTAGGTGGCGACCTGGACCTGGTTAAGCTTCTCAATCACGAGGGTGTGATTCCTGGCAAGTACCAATGTGACTTATTCCGAGTTATATGTACTTTCTAATTTTATCTAGACACAACTGACATATAGTAAAGGAATAATATCGTGGGCAAGAAAATCTGGACTGAAAAGCAGCCCGCTTCTCATACATGAGGGTGTGGGTTCGAAACCTGGCAAGTACCAATGTGACTTATTCCGAGTTATATGTACTTTCTCTAATTATTTAGACACAACTGACACACGCTGAAGGTAAACATTGTGAGGAAACCTGGGCTTATAATTTCTAATTATAAGTTTGAAATCGCCATTCTGCTTTGAGCAAGTGTAGTGGTTAATGCTCAAACCTTTTCCGTGTGAGAAGAGGCCTTTGCTCAGCAGTGGGCACTTATAGGCTGATGATGATGATGCAATATGAGAGACTTTGCGGGAAAAATCGTAGTGCTACTTAAACCTTAGTAACACACGTCAACAAATGTCAACTCACTTTTCGACATTCCGAATGTGTTGATGGATGTTTTGTTGTAAAGTCTACTGCCGTTGCTCCTGTGAACAAAAAGGACTATAATTAGGTACATTTGAAAAACAATATTAATTAGATAATACCTAATCAAATAGAATAATTTTTTTTTCGAAATACCAAGAGTTTAGTTGTAGGTCTCTATGATTTTCGTAACAGATTGTGTTTTGTCATATCATGTCTATTTGAGTGATACGGTGGCGATAAAGGAGCAGTTGGATTACCTGATGGAAAGCAATCAGCATCACCCATGAACACCCGCAACAATGGAAGATCTATGAGTGCGTTGCCGACCTTTTAGAGATTAGGGTATGGAAGGATTTAGGCATACGGTGTCCTCACTCACACGACAAAACTCAACACTGTGGTTGTTTCACGCCGGTATTCTATGAGAACGTGGTATCACTCCGGTTAAGCCGACCCATTAGTGCCGAAGCATGGCTCTCCCACATTTAGTTGTAATCGGAACAGCTTCGTCTTATGTACATAATAACATATTTCTACATAATTTTTCAGGATCATAACATATTCAACGTTTCACATTGTAATATATTTATCATATTCAATGTATTCGTCCTGAAATCCACCTCTTCACATAAATACGAGTCCACCATCTTGAAAAACCTAACAACAAAGGGAAACTTCGTAAAAATCATTATACCCCAAGACGTTCCACTTTGAAGAAACGAAATCAAATTACAACATCCACGCAATTCCAGCCTTTATCACAGCTGAATTAGAGCCATTTTCGCGTAGACACCATTACACCCCTCCCCCAAATACCATTACCAACCGATTTTGAACCCAAAGCTTAAGTGGTAAGTTGCGAAATGGCTTGTCAACGATTCTAAGACGTTGGTTGCCTAGCAACGCCGCCATATTGCTTGTAATTAGATTTTAAGACATCTTGAGTTGTGGTGCTGAAGAGGCATTATTAGATTGAAGGGTCTTGAGGTTTAAGAAGGTAATTTAGGGGGAAGGGGGGCTAGGGAAGCATATAATTCTATAATAATCTATATTCCAACAATACTCCTATTCTGAATCAAAGCAATATTCAGGAGAAGATCAAAGTATTTTAAACTAGATGACATTCCAAAAAACGATCTGAACTGTCCAGGTGACAGATATGTACTCTTTTTATGTGATATGTCGGCAAACGAGCATACGGATTACCTGATGGTAAGCAATCAGCACCGCCCATGGACACCCGAAATAACGAGAATAAGTTACGAGTCCTTTGCCGACCTTTTAGGGGTTACGGATTGGAAGATTTTAGAATTAGGGAAGGGAAGGACTGGGCCTCTGGTAGTCTCACTCACACGGCGAAACAAAATGCTGTGCAATTTTCATGCCGATTTTCTGTAAGGCCGTGGTATCAGTCCAGTCGAGCTGGCCCCTTTCGTACCGAAGCATGGCTCTACCTCACTTAAACGGTTACTTACGTATTTATGCAGAGACCACAGCAGAAAATGAACTTAACACACCTTACAAAATTGTGACCTATCTGACATGGCGAGGATTCTTGAATAGGTACTTCAAACCTTCAAGAAACGACTTTTCTTGTCCAGGGTGCGGCGAGAAGGAATGTCAGACTTACTGACTAATAACCAACGCTTGCCCCGCAACCCCGGCTGAACAGTGAACATCAGCTCTATAGAGCCCCGTCTGTAATGGTCTATTGGCTCTTTGAGGCGCGCGCGGAACGCAACGCGCCGTACGCTTGGGTCTGGTCCTGGTCGGGCAGCGAGCAACCCCAGGTCTGGGTGTTTTCCAGTCAGTAAGTCTCTAATACAACGCAGATCAAGAGAAAAGACTAAATGAATTCCCACCACAAAACAAAAAAACTACAAATTTTGTCATAACTCAGACGCTAATGCAACTATAGTGTTGGGAAACTTAACACGAAATTCCCAAGTTATTATCGATAAAATTAAAGCAAGTTCGAAGCGACTGTGACAAGAGGTATTTCTTGGCAAACTTCCCGAACTATGTTGTTCCCTGAAACTGTTAACTATTGTTTCGAGTTTGCTAATTTGCTATGCAAGAATAGGGATGGGAAGCGTGCATATCGATAGTTTATTAACGTAATTAAACCTTCTTTGATCAATTAGAATGGAAGTGATGATGTTTTAAGTTATACTAAAATAAGTGTGGTATAGCCATTTTTCGGCACGAATGGGCCAGCTCGACCGGAGTGATACCACGTCCTCACAGAATACCGGCGTGAAATAACTACAGCGTTGTGTTTCGCCGTGAGAGTGAGGTTACCGGAGGCCCAATCACCCCCCGCCCCCCATCCCTTCTGAATCCTTAAATAACGCTTTGTTCAGCAGTGGCCACTTATAGGCTGATGATGATGATGACGATGGTGAACCATTCATTCCATTATGTTTCGTCATGTGAGTGAAGTTATCGAGGGTTATAGCCATCTATATCTATCCTAAATCCCCAAAAAGCCTAATCTTATGACCAAAAAAGGTCGACAACGCACTCGTTAGGTCCTTTGGTATTTAATCACGATTGCTTACCATCAGGTTATCCGTCTGATTAGTCAATGTATGCGCAACTCAGAATACAGATTGTTCTGTATTCTGAGGTATGCGATAAAAATGAGGTATCAAATCAAATAAGTTGAAAAACTTGACTTGAAAAAACAATTGAAATCGATAATTTTTCGAATCTCTCAACGAAACAATATCCCAGTCAGTCAGAAACAAACAGTTTTATGTAAATTAAGCCGGAGATCGTCTCTTCACTCGGCCACCATAAGCGCGGGTCTGCGGACGGCGAGTAAGGGCAGCTCGCCGCCCGATCAGAACCAGACCCGAGCGTACGGCGCGTAGCGTTCCGCGCGCGCCTCAAAGAGCCAATAGACCACCACAGACGGGGCCTAATAGGGCAGATGTTGAGCCGGGGGTGCGGGTAAGCGCAATGAGGCACCGCGACCTCGGCCCAGAGCAGGAGAAGTAAAAGACTGACAAACCCTCCCACCCCAGTACGGGAAATTATTTTGTGCATATGATGTGGTTTTTTGTCTGTTATAAAACGTTCCTCAAATAAGAAATTCCAAATGACTATGTGGGTGGAATCGATTGCTTACCATCAGGTATTAATCCTCTACATCATAAAAAAATCACAGTACCTCGTTGTTGCTGCTGTTTCCTCATTTGCTTCTTGTGTTTCATCCGTCGGTTCTGGAACCAGGTCTTGACCTGTGTCTCCGACAGGTTCAGGGCTCCGGCCAGTTCCACGCGCTCAGGAGTTGACAGGTAACGCTGGGACTCGAAGCGTTTCTCCAGACCTGGATGCAGGAATGGTATTCATTTACATCGCGTCATAGTATAAAACATAGTCGCTTTCTCTGTCCCTATATCCCTATGTATGCTTAAATCTTTAAAACGGTGATTTTTATGGATGGAGTGATTGAATAATAAGTTTTATACGACAAAGACAAATTCAAATTCATTTATTCCAACTAATCGGTACTTTTGAAATGTCAAAATAGAATAGTAGTCTGTCAGTCTGTTCGTCAGTGAAGCTAGGTGCTCGTTCCAAATTGTAGTTTCGAATGGAGAAGAACGAGCAAGAAGCTCCATCGTTACTTTATAATTTACAATTTCACTAAGACATCATTTGGTATACATTATTGTACCCTTATGTGAGAACAATGCAGAGACCACCAAAAAATAACAAATGATTGGATCTACATATTATGGTGAGTGAGGTTACCAAAGTTCTTAACCTTTCTTCCCCTATCCCCAATTTTCAAATCCCCATACACTTAAAACCTATGAAAGAAAGAAAGAAAACAGTTCTTGAAGTTCGAAGTCTGACTAAATACTAATGAGACTGTTTCCACGTTATGGGTACTTTCTATGATTATTTAGACGCCACTCTCATACGGCGAAGAAAAACATCGTGAGAAAACCTGGACTTATAATATCTAATTAGAAGTTTGAAATCGCTTTTCCGTCTTGAGTAAGAGTGGTGATTAATGATCAGTCCTTCTCCGTTTGAACACACAGTAACAGTCATCATCAGCCTATAAGTGCCCACTGCTGAGCAAAGGCCTCTTCTCACACGATGACGGTATGAGCATTAATCACCACGCTTGCTCAAGGCGGATTGGCGATTTCAAACTTATAATTAGAAATTACAAGTCCAGGTTTCCTCACGATGTTTATCTTCACAGTATGTCAGTGATGTCTAAATAATCATAGAAAGTACTTATAACTCGGATATAGTCACATTGGTACTTAGCCTGGTTTCGAATCCTCAGGAATAAGGAGTTTTAACTTCTGGGCCACAAAAAAGACGATGAAATAAGGAAGTGTATAATATGTATACTAACCAGTTAGTTGTGGATCGGAAAACACCGTCCTTGCTTTCCGCCGACGGCAGTGTTTTAGGGCGGACAGCGACAATTCTGACGGCGTGAACAACGCATGATATGGCACTCCTGAAACAACATATAAAATTATGGTATAAATTCTTCTAATAAACTTAAAACATATATACAACTAGCAACTTCCGCGCGGTTCACTCGCTGCTCGGCTCTTTCAAACCGTAGCGTGATGTTTTATAGCCTAAAACCTTCCTCGATAAATGTACTAAGAAATAAAAAAATATTATACAATTCAAACCAGTAGTTACGAAGATTAGCGCGTTCGCGTAAACAAACAAACTGTTCAGCTTTACAATATTAAGTAGTATAGATTTAAATTCACATTAAAATTCAACAATAGTAAATTTCCCGTGGCCTTTTGTGAGTGGGCTTCTCCCAGTTGTATAGTCTCTTCTGTGCCTTTGAGGCACAACAGGATAGGAGGGGGCGGAGCGCGTGAGGGAACTATCCTCGTGCCCCAGCCGCCGCAGGAAGCGAGATTCCTGGCGTCGGGGATCGAGCAATGATCTCCGGCCACCGTAAGTGCGGGTCTGCGGACGGCGCGTAAGGGTAGCTCGCCGCCCGACCAGAACCAGACCCGAGCGTACGGCGCGCCTCTAAGAGCCAATAGACCACCACAGACGGGGCACTATAGGCCTAATGTTGCGGCACCGCGACCTCAGCCCAGAGCAGGAGAAGGAACGGGGAGGTTTTTAGTCAGTAAGAGTCTGACACTCCCTCCCGCCCGTCAGGTCAGTGGATGGTAAGCCCTCGGGTCAGTGGATGGTAGCCCGTCGGTTCAGTGGATGGTAACCCGTCGGTTCAGTGGATGGTAACCCGTCGGTTCAGTGGATGGTAAGCCGTCGGTTCACCAGATGGTAAACAGTCCGGCGCAGCCGGTAAGAGTTCTTTATTAGCAGTAAAAAAACAGTACCAAGGTCGGCAAACCAAAAAAAAATAATATCACTCAGTCACTATGCAGCAAAATTTATACCTAATAGGTACGTAAATAACAAAATATATGTAACCTTATTTACAAGGAACCACACGATACTTCATAATTAGGTACCTAATAAGACAAAAAACTAAAAAAGATACTTAACTATAGTTTTCTGTCAAGCGGAACATCATCTTCCTGCAACGGGACAAGGGCTGCTCCGTTTTACTTGGGGTCGGCGCAATATGTTTTTTTCTTCCATTCTGTCCTGTCACCCGTCACGCTATCACTAACTCCTCTGTCTTCCATATCACTTCTCACACAATCCATCCATATTTTCTTTGGCCTCCCTCTCCCTCGCCATCCATCCACATTTATACTCATGGCTTTTTTGTAACATGCTTTTCAGCCCTCCTTTTCACATGGCCATACCAAGACAATTTCTGTCAAGCGGAACAGAAATAGTAATAATTGCTTGAAAGCATATATTGAGGAAGCTTCGATTGGACATCACTAGACAGTATAAAACAAAGTCGCTTTCTCTGTCCCTATATCCCTATGTATGCTTAAATCTTTAAAACTACGCAACGCAGATGATTTTTCGATAGATAGTGTTTGAAAAAGAAAGGTTTATATGTAAAACTAGCTTTTGCCCGCTACTTTGTTCGCGTGGAATAGTGACTTCTCGCAGATTTTTGAACTATCCTATGTCCTTTCTCGAGTTCCAAACTATGTAAGTGCCATATTTCACACACATAGGTTCAGTGGTCTAGGCGCGAAGAAAAGACAGACAGAGTTACTTTCGCATTTATAATATTAGTTTGGATAGTTTGGACTAGCGGCCCGGCCCCGCTTTCACACGGGTCAAACTGTTTCGCTAGCAACGGAAGTTTCACTTTTTCCCAATTTTACTCTCAACTTTTTTTTATAAGAATCTTACCCTGACCATATTAAATGCAACAAAAAAGAATTGTCAAAATTGGACCATCAATAATATTAGAAATTTATAGAATCGAAATGCTCGATTGTATAAAATTTGTTTTATTTTGAATCTTGTTCGAGTGTGAAGTCAAGGTGACGGGGAAATTACATTATAGAATGCAACTTGTAACGTCATCTCATACTTTATCTATCAAAAGTTTAGAAAGAAGTCTTACAGAATCACACCCCAGCACTGCAATATGCACCCGTGCGATGCTAGGGCGGGCTTACATATAAGACACATTAAAACTTTTTTTTCGCAGATTCTCCGTATCGTTTGGTGACTGGGCTTTTAAATAAATAATGTTTAAAGTCAAACTCAAAATTAAAAATAATATATTCCAACTAAACCATAAACAGGTAATTTTGAAACGTCAAAGTAGAAAAGTAGTCTGTCAGTCTGTTCGCCAGTGAAGCTAGGTGCTCGTTCCAAATTGTAGATCCGGAGATTATGTCCTAATTTCTATCAAAAAATTAAAAAAAAAACATAATAATAATATTGTGCTATGAGACGTAAAAAAGCGTGACGTCATAATATATAGAAAATGATCGATTTTGACAGTTGTAATAAGTATTTTTTTATTTTTCCTCACACTAGGATTCCTGTGTCAAGGGTATTTTTTATGCACATCACACACAGACTCGGAACAATTTTTTTTTAATCATACAAAGCATTAATTCAGAAAACGAACCCGCGGCACGTTTTACGGCAGCCCGTTGCCCAACCAATTTGATAAATAAGAGTGTTAATCACTACACACTACATACCATAGAACAAAGTCGCTTTCTCTGTCCCTATATCCCTATGTACGCTTAAATCTTTAAAATTACGCAACGGATTTAGATGCGGTTCTTTTAATAGATCGAGAAATTGTTAAAGACGTAGGTTTATATGCATACCTAGCTACTGTCCCGCGGTTTCACTCGCTGCTCAGCTCCTACAGATTGTAGCGTGCTGTTTTATAGTATAACCTTTTTTATGTAATAGATCGGCAAACGAGCTGACGGATTACATGATAATAAGTAATCAGCGCCGCCCATGGACACCTGCAACGGAGGAGTTTCGAGTGCGTTGCCGACCTTTTAGGTATTAGGGATTTGGAGATTTAGGGATTGGGCGTGGGGAAGGATTGGGCCTCCGGTAACCTCACTCACACGGCGAAACACAACGCTGTGGTTGTTTCCCGCCGGTTTTCTGTGAGGCCGTGGTATCACTCCGGTCGAGCCGACCCATTCGAGCCGAAGCATGGCTCTACCACACTTTTAATAAAATATATAAATAACTATCTATACTAATATTATAAAGAGGTAAAATTTGTAAGTTTGTAATTTTGTATGTAGGGGATAATCTTTGGAACCGCTGGTCGGACTGCCAAAATTCTTTCACTAATAGATAGCTACAATGTTCCTGAGTGCTATAGGCTATAAAACATCACGCTACGATTAAATGGAGCCGAGCAGCGGGTGAAACCGCGCGAGAGTAGCTAGTAATATTATAAAGAGGTAAAATTTGTAATTTTGTATGTAGGGGGTAATCTTTGGAACCGCTGTTCGGATTGCCAAAATTCTTTCACTGATAGATAGCTACAATGTTCCTGAGTGCTATAGGCTGTAAAACATCACGCTACGATTAAATGGAGCCGAGCAATAGCTAGTTTAAAATAAATCAGAAATTACCTTGAGACAGAAAATATGGTGCCTCCACAGCCTTATAAGTGTTAGGAGTGTGCAAATATGCTCCTAAAGCACCCATAGCAACTTGTAGGTAAGACCCTTCTCTGCCCGGTACCTGTGGTCTCATCTCATTTGGGACCGGAAAGAATGGTTTAGGGTCCCGATCGTAGTCAAATCGTCTCTGATCTGGGGTCTTAAAGTTTCTATTATCGTGGCTTCGATATAAAATGTCTTCGATAAGGAAAGATGTTTTTGATGGATGGTCTTGTCGGCTGCTTTCCGTGGGCGAATCGCTTCGAGTCTCCGGATCCATTTTTCTTTTTTCTTTTTCGAATTGTTTTATTTTTAATTTCGCATTAGTTTGCGTTTTGTTCTTTCAGAACAGTGTTTTGTTTTTTTTTTAGCTGAGCGTTTTGTTGATTTTTTTCTGAAAGTTTTTTTTTTATTATTGTATGTAGGTAGGTAGGTATTCGAAATATTTTGATTTCACATTCGTGCTCCGTTTCTTTATGTCTAACTGTAATTTTCAAAGATAATTTTTGGTGATTACATGAATTATTCTTTAACTTTATCAATCGGTGGTAATTCGAGACACAACAGAAAGACAATAGGTGCGCGAACGCCGGCGCTCGTTTGGGTTTTAGTGAATTAATAAGGGTCATTTGGTTTTTATTTGTGGATGGAAAATCATCAGACGAGAGAGAGAGTCTACTCACTACCAGTATAGTTCAGTCACTCATCACTGTTACTTGCAAAATCCTTTCTGTACTGTTTTTATAACTATGCCAAACATTCCGTCTCTTTTTGTATTATTTTCTAAACGCTAGCAATATTTGCAGTATCGTTGATAATCACAGAACAGAATTGATAATACATTATTATTTGCTAGCTGACCCGGCAAACGTTGTTTTGCCATAAAAATAAGGGTTGTTCGTAGAAGTGTAATTTTTTTTTTGTATGTTGTCTAAAAATAAAAAAAAATTAGTGTAGAGTATCCCTAACATTTAGGCGGATGAAAAATAGATGTTGATATAAGCACAAAAAATTTCATCAAAATCGGTCAAGCCGTTTCGGAGGAGTATCTAATAATGGCAACGAAAACTGTGACACGAGAATTTTATATAAATTAGATTTATTTATAACTTGGTAGTATAGTCTCAAAGTCAAAGTCAAGTCAAAATCATTTATTTCAACTAAACCATAAATAGGTACTTTTGAAACGTCAAAATAGAGAAGTAGTCTGTCAGTCTGTTCGTCAGTGAAGCTAGGCTAGTCTACCGCTGAATTTTCCTACATGAAACGTATTTCCAATAACTACAGCATCATTTCAAAGGTTCAAGTTTATTAGAGAGCTTTTCTGACCTCTCTCTGCCAAAACCCGCCCATTGTTGATTCTAACGACACTCGCAGTAAGGGTAGGGATGGTTTTTATGTGATGGGTCGGCAAACGATCAGGTGGACCACCTGACAGGGAGCAATCATTCTCCATTGTCGATCTGGTGTGGATTCTTCAGGCCCGGGAAACTGTGCCTGAAGGATCTTAATCAACCTATATTTTTGTTGAGAGGCACCAGTGTTGACACACGTCACTTTATGTTTTCTAGTTTCTACTTCTTGTTTCTTTTTGAGCTTTTTTAATATTTAATACTTGTGATTTTGCAGTATGCACATATTGTTACGTTACTATCTAGATCAAAACCTTTAGTTTTAAGCTAATATTATTTGATTGTAATGTGTTTTGTGCATGAAATAAATAAATAAAAATAAATCAGCGCTGATCATGAAAGGTATTGCAAGAGTGTTGCCAGGATATAAGTGGTTTTCGAAGGGATAGGAGGAAGTATTGGGGCCTTCGATGACCTCACCCACACGGCGAAACATAACGCTGTGGTTGTTTAAAGGCGGTTTTCTGTAAAGCCGTGGTATCACTCCGGTTAAGCCGACCCATTCGTGCCGAAGCATGACTCTACCGCTCTTTTAAATTTTATTTAAAATGACGTAACGTATGCACACGTTAAATAAATACATAGAATTTTGTAGACAGACAGAAACACAATTATAATAAGTCTTTACCTATGAAATTGCCGTTCTGCAGTACTGGCCATTTCAAATCAAAATAGTTTTTGTTTGGCTAAGGCTAATTAATTTTGTTTTAAAAACATGAGATTCTTTTTCCAAAAGTAGTCATTTGTTTATTGATTAGTGTGACATTTTCATCGCATTTCAAATCAAAAAATTCGTTTAATTTTTTTCATGCAAAACGGCAATTTCATAGGTAAAGACCTATTATATTTTGTTCTCCATAAATGGCAGAATATGTGGAGCCCAAACTTGTAATAAAACCTACTGTAGGTAAGTACCATATTCTACCAACTATCGTAATGGTTAGAATGATTGAAAAAGTCAACTTTGTTTTCGTTAAGTATATCAAACAAAGTATAGAAATAGAAAATAATGAACGGAGCACGAATTGTGAACTTAGAATAAATGTCGTATTTATAAAGCTAGACTTGAACTTTTTCAACTCAAAAATGTTTTTCTTCACTTTTAAAATTTTAAACACAATTAAACACAATTCACACGATCATAACTTCACATTTTTTTTAAAACTAACGTACTTATTAACTTACTAAAATAAGTACAGCACTATTATTAAAAAAAAATACACCACTACTTTTAAATCGTTCTATCAATTTAAAAACCACAGACACATTTGTCCACACGAAAAAAAAACGAACGAAATTCCAAAAATCCAATTTCAAATCGACAACTGCAACGCCAAACCGATTCTTTCCGATTACGATAATTGCAGACAATTATTCGAATAATCGGTCGCTTTGTACTGTATGCCAGAAACTGCCCGAATGGGGCGAAACGCAGCGATAAACTGTCGTTAGTGGGGGGTAGAAATGGGGTGGGGGTTGGGATGAACCCGCCGAGGGGTGGGGGGTCGAATACTTTGTATTTTTTTCAACATACACCATGTTTTTATTGGTCGATTTAGATACGGTGTTTAAAAGTTCTATCTCAAATGCGGTTTTATTATATTCATAATGATCGAATCGATTTAGTACTTAATTATTGCTTTGGCGTAGTTTTTCTTTGGTGTTTTGTTTTTTGTATTATATATAGGCTTTATTTAATATAGGGGGTGGTTGTGATAAGAATTTTCGCTTGAAGGTTTCGTTGTAATGAATTACTTAGTATAATGATAACTGGATAAGTTCGATACTTTTTTTTGTATTGTCAAAAACTACAAGACCTATATTCCTCCTATTTTCTATGAAGTAATTTTTTGTTTGAGATTAAGAACAATTTTTTTGCGTAAAATATCACACTTAATTTTTCAATGGATAGATAAAAGTTACCTGGGGAATAATTATGATGCTGTCGCGTCACAATGTTTGTATAAGACAGTGACAGCAACAATTTTATTCCTCAGATAACATTTATCTGACTATTGAAAAATCAGTCCTTAACCGATAAGAGCATCCTTTTTTATATTTCATTAGTTATGGAAGATAATTAATTTTTGTTTAACAGTTTTAATTAAATACAATATTTTTATTGAATAGGAGACAAACGAGCAGACGGATCACCTGATGGTAAGCGATCGGTACCGCCCATGGACATCTGCAGCACCAGAGGAGTCACATTGCCGGCCTTTTAAGAATGAGTACGCTCGTTTCTTGAAGCTTTGAAGGTCGTATCGGTTCAGGAATACCGCCGCTGGAAAATCATTCCGAAGTTTGGCTGTGCGAGGCAGAGCATATGATGAGGATGAATATGTTTTCAGGAAATTTGTTAACTTTAAATAATAATTAACATAATTAAAAAACACGCCTGTCATGTGTAAAAATGAACTTAAATGTAAAAATGTATTCAATAATAGTGCTGAAATTCTGTTTGGAAAAAAGCCCTAAAAATAAAATAAAGATTTAAAAAAAAACTTAAATGTAAAAAACAAGCTATCAAGAGAAAAGTTATATATTAAGCAGACCTATTACCTGATGGTAAGCAATCAGTGCCGCCCTAGGACACCCGCAACGGAGGAGTTGCGAGTGCGTTCCTGACCTTTTAGGAATTTGGGATTGGGGAGGGATTCTGGTAGGGGAAGTATTGAGCCTTCGGTAACCTCACTCACACGGCGAAACACAACGCTGTGGTTGTTTCACGCCGGATTTCTGTGAGGCCGTGGTATCAGTCCGGTCGAGCCGACCCATTCGTGCTGAAGAATGGCTCTCACACACTTATGTATAATTGGGTTAATGTCACAGAGACCTGTACCCCGACATTTTTTTTAAGACACAGCCTAGGCTATGTCACCCGGCATAACGATATGCTAAAATAATAAGTGTGACTAATTCTGCCCAGCCGTTTCGAAGTTACAGTGGAATAACAAAAACCACATACATACTTACATACATACATTAACCTCAAACATAACAATTGATTTTTTTGGGCAATTGTGTAAAAAAAATTTTTTTTTTCATGTTTTAATGTAAACTGTACCACTACTCTGCCTACCCCGTGTATAAACATTAAGCTTTTGGATACGGTAAATAGGAGAGGAATTCTGTTTCAAATCGAGAGATTCCACAACAAATTGGTGGAAGAATGTTTGACATAAGCGCGGGACACACGCTGTATTTCAATTTGTTAAATACTAGCTATTCTCGCGCGTTTTCACCCGCTGCTCGCCTCCATTTGATCGTAGTGTGATGTTTTATAGCCTATAGCACTTAGGAACATTTTAGCTATCTATCAAAAAATAATTTTGGCAATCCGACCAGCGGTTCCATAGGTTACCCCCTACATACAAACTTATAAATTTAACTTCTTTTTAATATTAGTTGTACCTAAGTGTCGGAGAGCCAAGCTTCGGCACGAATGGGTCGGCTCGACCAGAGTGATACCACGGCCTCACAGAAAACCGGCGTGAAACACACCCTTTCACCGTGTGAGTGAGGAGACAGGAGGCCCAATCCTAATAAGGATCCCAATCCCGACCTTTTAGGTATTAGGGATGGAGATTTAGGGATTGGGGTAGGGAAAGGTTTTGAATCTATGTTATCTAGATACTATTTAAAATTTTCTATTTACTTACATTTTTTTGAGCTTAATGTCTCCCGCCGTTGGCGCCTCAGCTTATTCTATAGGACATATATAAGTATATATAAACTCGTATACATCAGATGGCTGGCTAAATTGATGTAAGATGTAACCCACTCTCCGGGATCATCCCTAGAATGCAAAATGGGAATACAGTGACCTAACAGTCTTGGTACTTTTATAAAAATATCAAGAGTGTTTCGCGGCACGGGATTCAATTTATTCTTTCAAGGATTCATTACAAAATCTTGGATAGTATTGAAGTGATTTTAATGAATTTTGGGTTGTTTACGTTTTTTTTTATGTCATAGGTCAGCAAACGAGTATACCGATTACCTGATGGTAAGCTGTGGTTTCTATATTTTTTGTTTGTCAAATCATTTAGGTATTTCAATTAGACACCTTTGAAAGTTATAGAAAAAAATAAAAATTATCGAAAGGTTCAACTTTTTAAATGTGTCAGTCAGTCCTGTAATGAAGCTGTTTGCTCGTTCCAAAGTGTAGATTCCTATGGAGAAGAACGAGCAAGAAACTCCATGGTTACTCTTTACTCTTTACAAACATACAATTTAACAGACCCATAACAAAAATTTGAGGAACCCACACGGGGACCGGCAACGAATGAGCCGATTTGATCGAAGTAATACCTAAGACCATTCGTTCAGAAAACTTACATGACTTACAATAAATACTTACATTGTGATTCGCCATGTAAGTGACCGGATGACTCTTCCCCTCTATTTCTGTCTCCAAAACCATAATCCCCAAAACGCCGGCAACGCACTCGTAACTCCTCTGATGTTGCGGGTATCGATTGGCGGCGCCGATTGCTAACCATCGAGTAATCCGTGTGCCCATTTTCCGTCCTATCACATAGAAAACAAAAATATCCATTCATACTTACAAACTTTCGCGTAATTACCAAAGAATTAATTCTGACTGCACGGTTGGTGCGGTGGCTGGGCAACTGGCTGCCGTGCAACGTGTCGCGGGTTCGATTCCCGCACGGAACAACACTTTGTGTGATCCACAAATTGTTGTTTCGGGTCTGGGTGTCATGTGTATACACAACACAACACAGGAGAAAATCCTTCAGTGGGGCAACGTTTTTATTAAAAAGAGAAAAAAAAATTCTGTAACAATACTTATGTATTATAAACCTGAACCACATTCAATAAATTAACTAAGTAAGTCTACTAACTAAACAATTGCGTTGCATAATAAAATTATTACTCAGAAATTACAAGAATGCAATTACAAAAATTCAAAGAAAACAAAAAAAATATATATATAAAGCTTAATCTCAAGGATCAAAACTGGTTACACGTTAAGCCAACGCGTCACCCCCTAACCGACCCCCTAATCCTCCAATAGGGGCGTGGTTTATCACAATCGACCAATGAGAAAGCTCCGCGCGCGCAAGTCGCTCGTCTCGACCAATAGAAAGACGCCAATTAGGGATCAAAAGCTTGCCGATTTGGGGTTGCATTTCAGCATTTCTCGTTTTGATGCTGTCAGTTATACTAGACTAGTTGGGTGACACACGGGTTTGCTTGGAAAATGATGGGATTAAAGAAAAAGATAAATATTATTCCAAACTAATATTATAAATGCGAAAGTAACTCTGTCTGTCTGTCTATCTTTTCTTCACGCCTAAACTACAGAACCGATTTCTGTGGAATTTGGTTCATACATAGTTTGGAACTCGAGAAAGGATATAGGATAGTTTTTTAACCTAACCAAAAAGCTGCAGGAAGTCATTATTTCAAGCGAACGGAGTCGCGGGCAAAAGCTAGTTTATTATAAACTTGCGACTATTTAATAGATGTTATTGTACATGTAGACCTTCCTCTTCAATCACTCTATCTATTAAAAAACTGCATCAAAATCCGTTGCGTAGTTTTAAAGATTTAAGCGTAGATACGGGATATATGGACAGAGAAAGCGACTTTGTTTTATACTATGTAGTGATACATAATGTAAATTAAGTTCTTGATCAATAATGACACTTCTGATAAGTGACCTCGGGATTGATTCCCGGGTAATATTTCCGGGTAATGGGGATAACGACCGGGTAGAAAAGTAAAAAACCTAGTTATTCTGTCCGTTATATAATAAAAATAAATATTAAATAATGATTAAGTATGTCTCAAATAGATATTATCTATATCTATACTAATATTATAAAGAGGTATATAAGTTTGTATGTAGGGGGTAATCCTTGGAACCGCTGGTCGGATTGCCAAAATTCTTTCACTGATAGACAGCTACAATGTTCCTGTGTGCCATAGGCTATAAAAAAATCACGCTACGATTAAATGGAGCCGAGCGGCTAGTGAAACCGCGCAAGAGTAGCTAGTAGTAAGATAAAATACCTATATTTAACATTTTAAGTATGGGAGAGCCAAGCTTCGGCAACAAAGGGTCGGCCCAAACTAACTAAAATGAATTTTAACCCAGAATCAACCAAAACAAAGTCAAAGTCAAAGTCAAAATCATTTATTCCAACTAAACCATAATTTTTCGAATTTCGAAAAAGTTAGGTAGGTACTTTTGTAACGAAACGAAACACCTAATTAACACGACTTAAAAGCTCACTAGCGCCATCTAGATAACAAATCTACCTCGGAGTCACGTCCTAACATTTTGCAAACAAGCCGAGTGGTGGATAAGGGTGCCAAGTGGTACTCTAGTGACAACAAAGCAGCGCAGAGTACAAGCAGACTTGATAAGGGGGGTGGGGGGGTGCTTAGAAAAAGGGGACCTTTTTACCCCTAGTTACAAGAGTTAGTTTTACAAGATAATCAAAGTTAGTCATTATAAATAAACTGTTTTGAAAACAACGAAACGCTGTGGTTTCACGCCGGTTTTCTGTGAGGTGTGAGAGAAGTGTCGTAGAGATAAGCTTTGGCACGAATGGGTCGGCTCAACCGGAGTGATACCACGGCCTCACAGACAACCGGCGTGAAACAACCACAGCGTTGGGTTTCGCCGTGTGGGTGAGGTTACCGGAAGACCAATCCCTCCCCCTCCCCCCATCCCTTCCGAATCCTTAAATATCTAAAACCCTTATGCCTAAAAGGCGGGCAACGCACCCCTAACTCCTTTGGTGTTGCGGGTGTCCATGATTGCTTACCATCAGGTAATCCGTTTGCTCGTACTGCCTTATACCATAAAAAAGGTCGTAGTATCATTCCGGTGGAGCCGACCCATTCGTGTCGAAAAATGGCTCTCTTATACTTATATATGAATATAAGACAGGAGACGGTTTCTGGTAGTTTTCTTAAGACCTGACCAATGGATTACATAAGTATCTGATAGAGATTATTTACTACTAGCGGCCCGCCCCCGCTTCGCACGGGTCCAACTATCTCGCTATCAAAGGGACACTTTTTCCTAATCTTCCCCTCTACTTTTCTAATATTTTCTATGATAAGAACATTCTCCTGACAATAATAACAAACACAACAAAAAAAGAATTAGCAAAATTGGTCCAGGCGTTGTTGAGTTATGCGCTTACCAACACATTTTGCGATCCTTTTTTTTTCTAAAGATGAAGCAGCAGCAACATGAAAGTCTGACGGTCATTAACTACAAGAACATGTCTAATAGCCAAGAAGTCGCCGCCACCATCACACAAGACATTGTTTTAATTGGTCGGCAAACGAGCAGACGGATTACCTGATAGTAAGCAATCGGCGCCGCCGACCTTTTAGAGATAGGGGTTTGGGAGATTTAGGGATTGGGGGAGAGAAAGAATTATTGGGCTACCGGTAACCTCACTCACACTCACCTCACACTTACCTCACACTTACCTCACACTCACCTCACACTCACACTCAACTCACAATCACCTCACACTCACCTCAAATTCACCTCGCAAACTCAAAGCTGTAGCATTTTCACACAGATTTTCTGTGAGACCGTTGTACGCCGGTCTATCCGTATTCGACCCATTCGTGCCGAAGCTTGGCTCTCCCACACTTAAAAAGAACTGATTAATCTCTATTTAATCAGAGATTAAACATCAGCTTTTTCTGCCACTATCAGCTAGCTACTAGATGGCCCTCAGTCTCCAGAAACTTCAACTGCCAATTACCTCACAATGGCCCTCCATCGATGGGAGATATGTCACGTTTTAGTTTGATTCCAAATACGGCCCGTCATTATGCTAAGAGGACTGGCTATAACAGGGTTTTTTTATTATAAACACGCGTCGTGATATTATTGAAAACTCTGGTATATCGGATTAAGTAATTAACTTAATGTAAACTATCGGGTCAGCTCGACCGGAGTGATACCACGGCCTCACAGAAACCCAGCGTGAAACAACCGCAGCGTTGTTTCTCCATTTGAGTGAGGTTACCGGAAGCCCAATCCTTTCCCTCATTTAATCCCTCCGAGAATCCCCAAGGGTCAGCAACGCACTCGTAACGCCTATGGGGTGGCGCTGATTGCTTACCATCAGATAATTCGTCTCCACGTTTGCCGTCTCAAGTATAACATAAAAACAATCTTGGCCTATCTTTTTATCTAAAAATTTTATGTAAAAATATTTATATTGATATTTACCTAAATCGGTGTTACCTAATAATCTAATTAAAATAATCTTAGTAAATTCTTTATTCTATATAAAAAAAGAAAAACCCAGATTGTTTATGGATAGACCATAACTTTTTTTTTTTTTTGTTGTTGTTGTTGTTGGCAACTGAAGGCCATAACTTTGCACTGTCTCAAAATGCACTAATGCCCGGTTCCTATAATTGAGAAACGATCCGTTTTAGTTACGAATAGTAGTTTTATATACGACTCGTAAGCTAAAACCGTTCCTATAACAAACGTCTCGTCGTGCAACTTACTGACGGTTTGCAACTAACGGATGTCGGTAAGCGAATTGTATGGAGATCTATGGTGTCTGTGGTGTTCCTATAAATATTTTAACCGTCAGTAGACGGTCAAGATAACTATTCGTAATGTCATTTGGTCGTAATGCGTATACAACGACGATTCGTTAATGTTAAAGTCAAATTCAATACTTACATCCAAATGTCAAAAACGATACTTTTTCCTGAGTTATGACGTCATAGTATTTCTACGTCAAATAGCTTACTTATTTTTAAAAATTAGCTAAAAAATATATAAAATTAAGTGTATCGATCGATCGATGAATAAAAGTATAGTTATTTTTCAATACTTTATTGTATTGCAAAGTTGAAATAATTTATTTTTGATCTAGGAAACTACTCAACTGATATGTTTAGACGTCAAAGTGAGATGACATGATTCAATAATTGCGAGTGAAAAAGAGACAAATATAAAAAAAAAAACATGTGGCTAGCTTACTTATAATATCATTGAATGGAGACGTATTTTTCTTTGACATTTTTAGGCTTATAAAAAATTTTTTTGTAATTGAGCACCAAAATCGACTCCTTTGTCCCTCGTAGGTATAACCTGACACACTGTATATTTACTTTACAATAAACCATGCTGTTGTTCATCAATGAAAAGATGTGACTTTCTAAAAGTGCAATTTGGAAGGGAAAACGGAGTGTGCCGTGCATTCTTAGCACAAAATCAAAATCCATTGATATTTACCCCTTAAATTATGTGTAGGTACATCGTAACATAATTATTCTACTCACAATAACTTATAAAGGCCTTTGATAAAGATAATTTAGCGCGTGCGTCCAATAAACCTATCACTTTTATTAAACAAAATATATTTTGACAGTTCTAATTCAATTTCCCGCTAAATTTGACAGGGGTGGCTCTATCCCATAGAGAATCTACCAACGTAACTTGAACCATCATGGCGGCGCTAGTAGTCTTGAAAACTGTCAGAATTGTATGGAATT